GTCCTGAGTGTGTAGAGTAATGAACAAAATTGCTATAGCCTCCTTCTTTGCGAAATTAATCTCATCACAGCAGTGTCCAGCAGTAATACAGTACAAGTCACACATGTAATTTTCTTTTTTTCTTTTTTACTTTCCGATTGATTGGTTCAGGAGTAATTTTAAATCTTCTAGTATCCACATTAAAAAAAAAAAGAAATAAGCCAGGCTCAGTGGCTCAGCCTGTAATCCCGCGCTTTGGGAGGCTGAGGTGAGTGGATTGCCTGAGCCCGCGGGTTCAAGACCTGCCTGGGCAACTTGGCAAGACCTCATCTCTACAATAAATAAAAAAACAACCAAGTGTGGTAGCACGCGACTATAGTTCCAGCTACTTGGAAGGCTGAGGTGGAAGGATCGCTGGAGCCCAGCAGGTCGAGGCTGTGGTGGCCGGGAGCATGCTACTGCACTCCTATCTGGGTGACAGAGTGAGACTCCAACTCAAAAAAAAAGAAATTAATTAATTTTGACTATATTTTATTTAACCCATATATATCTTTTATATATCCAAGATCTTATTTCAACAAGTAATCAATATAAAAAGTATTAGTAAGCTATTTTACACTCTTCACACAAAAGTATTAAAATCCAGTGTCTGTTTTACACCTCTTATATCTCAAGTTTCAGTGCTCAATAAAGAACCAGAGAGCCTGAGGGCTGTCCATTGAGCTTCTCCACTCACCATTCAAGGAACTTTTCAGTAAATGTTTCCTACTGAACAGAAATCCTCTCTCTCTCTCTCTCTCTCTCTCTCTCTCTCTCTCTCTCCCCCCCTCTCTCCCTCCCCCCCTTTCCTTTTCTATCTTTCTTTCTTTTTTCTTTCTTTCCTCCTCCCCCAAGTCAGTCTCTTTCTGTTACCCAGACTGGAGTACAGTACAACCACAGCCCACCACAGCCTCCCAAGTAGCTGGGACTACAGGAGTGTTGATTTTTTTATTTTTGATTTTTTTATTTTTTTGCAGATGGGAGTCTCACTATGTTGCCCAGGCTGGTCTTGAACTCCTAGGCTCAAGCGATCCTTTGCCTCTTGCTCTCAAAATACTGGGATTACAGGTATGAGCCACCATGCCCAGCAGAACTCCTATTCTGTTGCCCGCTAACCTGGCCCAAATCTGAGACCTATATGAAAGTGGATCATCCACACTCAAAAAAGGCAGAGAGGGGCTGGGCGCAGTGGCTCAGACTATAATTCCAGCACTTTGGGATTACGAGGCGAAAGGATTGCCTGAGCCCAGGGGTTCGAGACCAGCCTGGGCAACTTGGTGAGACATTGCCTCCACAAAAAGTCACAAAAATTAGCCAGGTGTGGTGGCGTGTGTCTATAGTTCAGCTACTTGGAAGGCTGAGGTGGAAAGATTGCCTGAGTCCAACAGGGTGAGACTGCGGTGGCCATGAGCTTGCCACTGGACTCCAGCCTGGGCAACAGAGTGAGACTCCAACTCAAAAAAAACAAAAAGGCAGAGAGCCCAGTGTAGAAAGAGCCAAGTCTCATCACCTCCTCAGGAAGCTTTTCAGTTCTCCAGTCCTTGGGCTTGTGCTTCCAAATCTCTCCATTTCCTGGATGGGGAAGTCAGAGGTTAGAAGAATCTTTCCTTGTGTCCTGCGGTCTGATCCCCCACTGAGGAACCAGTCTGACCCATTCCTTCCTCACACACATCAGGCATCAGTGCACTGCAATGAAGTTCCAAGTCAGGGAACATGACATAAGCACCTGAAAATGGCGTGAGAAATAAAATAAACCAAACTGTCCCCAGAGAGATGACAACCGGTCTCCCAGGTATACAAGACAAGCAACTCATTCAACCTCTGTAAGATAGTGCTCAGGGTAGGTGTGAATTTGCAGACTTGGCGATAAATTCACTGTCCAGCAGGAATGGACCTGAGTTCAGATATTCAAGACTCAAGTTCTAGTCACTCTTCTGCCCGCCATTAGCAGCATTGCCTTAGGCATGCTACCACCCTTCTGAGTCTCAGTTTACTCATCTGTATAATGGAGACGAAACTCCCACCCATGTCTGTCTGCTTCTTGTGAGGCATCCGGAAGCAGGAAGGCTCTGTGTATCGCTTGACTGTGCTGCCTAAACATGAGGAAGGTGTCAGTCACTGCTCAGTCACTGAGCCTCAAGCCTCAGCCAGCTCCCCTCATGCCTCTCTCTCTCTCATCCCTTTCAGGAATCATCCTGAGACCCGTACCTCTGCCCAGGGCCCCCCAGCCCTGGTGTCAACGTGTCCTGCATTCCCTAGGCCCCTTCCCTGCCATCTAACGTCTATGTTTCACTTGCTTTTTTGTGGTCTGTCTCTCCCCCAGTCGAATGTAAGCCCCATGAAGACGGGGTTTTGTTTGTTTTATTAAATGCTTACCACAGTGCCTAGCATGTAGTAACTGCTTTAAACATATTGCTCAAATAAATGAATACATGAAGGAGTCTTACATTCCCTCTTAGAATTCGGCAGGCCTGGGCTGGAATCCTTGCTCGGTCACTGCAGAGCTCCCTAATATTAGGCCCACAGCCCAGTTAAGATGTCCTTGTTGCGGGATCTCCCTCTCCGAGGTCTGCCCAAGCCCGACTGCCTCTTGTCCTTGCACCACTTTGCAAAAGGCTCAATTCCAACTTTGCCCAGAAAGGGCCCCTCACAGGGCTAGACCAAGGGCAACAGGCCCTGACCACCGCCTCCCCCCCGCCCTCCATTTCTGCCTTGGGCCTGGGCCCCAACCCTGGCCCCAAACACAAGAGCCTGAGCCAAAAGCTTCTAGCATATACCACCACGGGTGATTTATTTAAGGGTCTCCAAATAATCACTTAAGTGTCACCATGGCAACCTGAAGAGTTGCCATGGAGACTGGAACAGGAAAAGTCCCCATGGAGACCCCTGGGAGACTCTAGGAAATCATTACCAGGTGAAGGGGGCTTGGAAGGGGGAGCTAGACAAATAAGGGAGCTTACGGTCTGTGTGCTGGTACAAGAAGGGGAGTGAAAGGGGAAAGCGGGAAAGACCAGCTAGAAAAGCAGGCAAGTTAATGATCTCCACTGACTCTAGGGTCCCATGTGATGAATAACTTCTATTACATGCACTGAAGAGATCTGAAAGGAAAGACAAGAAACGAGTCATAACAGCAGTGCCCAGGATGGGGGTGGGGGAAGGAGATTTATTTTTTACTGTACGAAGGGGGAACTTCAAAACACATAATTTATTTATTGAAAAATTGTGTGTTTATTCTTGTATGTTTAAGCTTCAGTCACCTCCAAAGTACTCTCTGCTTGATGCAATACACCGATCGAGATGCTTTTTCCGCTGCTCAGATCAGTTTTTGAACTCATCCATTTTGATGCCTTTTAGTGCTTCTGCCATCTTTGCTTCACCTCTTCCACATCAGCAAAACATTTCTCTTTGAGGATTTTTTTTCATTCAGGGGAACAAAAAAAAGTCCCTCCGGGCAAGATCAGGTGGATAGGGAGGGTGGAGCATGGGGGTCACGCCGATTTTTGTCAAAAACTGCTGAACACTCAGCGCGGTGTGGGTAGCTGTGTTGTCACAGTTGAAGAACCAGTCACCTGTTTGCCACAACTCAGGATGTTTCTTCTGCAAATCATGACACAACCGTCTCAGAACTTCCAGATACAACACTTTGGTTGGCCCATTGATCCAGAGGAACAAATTCTGAGTGTACTACAAGGGGCCCGTCCTCCAAAAGATAATTCAGTTTTTTGGGAAGTCCCTCTCATATGCCCCTTCCTCCAAAAGATAATTCAGTTTTTTGGGAAGTCCCTCTCATATGCCCCTTTGTACTGTTTGAATTTCTTTTTATCATAGATATGTATCAATTTTTCCAAAATTAATACTAAATAAGTAATTGAGCATTCACTAGGTTAAATATTTTATTTTATTTTTTTTGAGTCAGAGTCTCACTCTGTCACCCAGGCTGGAGTGCAGTGGCATGCTCACAGCAACCGCACCCTGACTTGCTGGGCTCAGGCAATCCTTCCACCTCAGCCTTCCAAGTAGCTGGAACTACAGACGCATGCCACCACGCTTGGCTAATTTTTTTTTATTCATTGTAGAAACAAGGTCTCACCAAATTACCCAGGTTGGTCTCAAACCCCTGGGCTCAAGCAATCCTCTTACTTCAGGCTCCCAAAGTGCTGGGATTACAGGTGTGAGCCACCACGCCTGGCTGGGTTAAATATTTTAAATCCTCAAAACAACCCCATATGGTAGGTATTATCTCCATCATACAAGGGAGGAAACTGCTGTTCAGAAATGTTCAGAAAGCGACCCACAGTCACGCAGTGGCTGAGCATCAAGCACAGGGCTCTCCGGCTTTCCTAAGCAAGTCTGGGTTCTCCGATCTCAATCCAGCTCTGCCACTAGCAGGCTGAGTGCCCTGAGGTGAGCATCATCCCCCTCGGGGCCCGGTTTCCTCACCTGCAAAATAGCTTGGCAGCTTGGACTGGATGAAGACGAAGGTCCCTCTAGCATGACGCTCTGAGTGCATGAAGCATTTCCCTCACAACCCTGGAGGGTCACTGCTGTGAGTGGCGGCTTGGGACCTGGTGAGGGAGAGGAAAAGGAAGAGAGGGTGGTGTGAGGGCAGCCCTTGGGGCCCTTGAGAAACCTCTGGATTCTGCCTTTGCAAAGAGAAGTGAGGTCAGGTGAGTCATCGGGAACATGCACAGTCACAGTGAGGCTAGTCCAAAGGGAGGGAGTTATCTTAATGGAGAGTTCACAAGGAGACACAGCTCAGACTCCTGTTCTTTCTCCTTGTCACTACTGCATGACTAGTCTTAAACACACACGCACACGCAACGAGATACCTCCTCACAAAAAGACAAACAAGCCTGGCTCAGTAGCTCAGCCTATAATCTCAGCACTTTCGGAGGCCGAGGCAAGTGGATTGCCTGAACCCATGGGTTCGAGACCAGCCCAGGCAACTTGGCGAGACTTCGTCTCTACAATAAATCAAAAATTACTTCCTTTCCAACTTGGGCCCGACAGAATGGCACCCGCAAAGAAGGATGGCACGAAGAAGAAGGGCCGTTCTGCCATCAATGAGGTCGTGACCCAAGAATACACCATCAACATTCACAAGCGCATCCATGGAGTGGGCTTCAAGAAGCGTGCCCCTCGGGCACTCAAAGAGATCCGAAAATTTGCCATGAAGGAGATGGGGACTCCAGATGTACGCATTGATACCAGGCTCAACAAAGCTGTCTGGGCCAAAGGAATAAGGAATGTCCCGTACCGTATCCATGTATGGTTGTCCAGGAAACAAAATGAGGATGATGACTCACCAAACAAGCTTTATAATTTGGTGACCTATGTCCCTGTTACCACTTTCAAAAACCTACAGACAGTCAATGTGGATGAAAACTAATCACTGACTGTCAAGAACATCAAATAAAGTTACAAAACTGCAAAAAAAAAAAATTAGCCAGGTGTGGTAGCGCACACCCGTAGTTCTGGCTGCTTGGAAGGCTGAGGCAAAAGGATTGTTGGAGCTGAGCAGGTTGACACTGGAGTGGCTGTGATGGCCGTGAGCATAGCACTGCACTCCAGCCTGGGCGATGGAGTGAGACTCCAATTCAAAAAAACAATGCTGGCTGTAGTGGCTCACACCTGTAATCCCAACACTTTATGAGGCTGAGGTGGGAAAACTACTTGAGACTAGCATAGGCAACATAGCGAGACCTCGTCTCTACAAAAAAAAAAAACTAAAATAATTAGTCGACCATGGTGGCATGTGCCTGTAGTCGTAGCTACTTGGGAGGATGTGGCAGAAGGATCACCTGAGCTCAGGAGGTCAAGGCTATGGTGAGCCATGATCGTGCCACTACACTCCAGCCAGGGTGACAGAGTGAAACATTGACTCAAAAAAAAAAAAAAGGAATACAAGCATTTGTAAGAATGTTTAAATCAGAACCCTCCTACACTGTTGATGGGAATGTCAAATGGTGCAGCCACTTGGGGACACAGTTCTGCAGTTCCTCAAAAAATTAAACACACAGACACCCCCTGACCTAGCCATTCCACTCTTAGGCACATACTTGAGAAATGAAAACATCCACATGAAAACTTACCACAATGTCCGTAGCAGCATTATTCATAGTACCCAAAAGCAGAATCAGCCCAAACATCCATCAAATGATAATGGGTAACCAAAATGTGATATGTCTATGCAATGGAATAATATTCAGCCACAAAAAAGGAATGAAGTACTGATGTAGGCTACAACATGGATTAACTTTGAAAATCTTATGCTAAGCAAAAGAAGCCAGCACAGTCACAAACAGTGCCACATGTTCAATGATTCCATTTATGTGAAATTTCCAGAACAGGAAAATATACAGAGACAGAACGTAGCTTAATGGTTGCCAAGGGTTGGGGGAATAAGGAAATGGGCGTGAAGGGATAGCTGATGTTTCTCTTAAGGGTGATTAAAATGTTCTAAAATTGTGATAGATGTACAATTATGTGAATATACTAAAAACCAATGAATCATACACTTTAAATGGTTAAATTGTATGCTATATTAATTATGTCTCAATAAAGGTGTTTTAAAAAGAAGAGAAGGGAGTATGGTCACCCATGGTCACACAGCCGCCGAGTGGTCACTCCAAGGTGCCCTGCTCCTGCCCAACCTTCTTCCACTACCTTCTGCTCTCTTTAAGGGGGACAGAAGGGTCTCCCCAGGGCAGCCTTGAAGGCTGCTTCTAAAATGAACACGTGCCCATGTGGTGGGGACCCTCCCCTTCCCCTCCTCTGACAGAGCAGCATTCTTCAATAAATTGGGTGCCCCGAGGTTTCCTTTAGAGAAAGGGAGCCATTGCCAAAGGGCAAGAAAAGTGCAAGTCTGAAAGCCACTGATCAGAGAAGGTGTTCAAGAAGGATGTCAGAGTGGTTAAGGATGGGACTCTGTCCTTTCAGGAAGCAAGTCTTTGATGCTTGGACACCTCAGGACTTTGCAGACCCTAGAGGAACTGCTCTTCCCGTAGCTAGCCAATTCCGAGATTTAGTAAAGGACTCATTTGTGAATGTACCTTTCTTTTCTTTTTTCTTTTCTTCTCTTCTCTTCTCTCTCTTTCTTTCTTTTGAGTTGGAGTCTCACTCTGTCGCCCAGACTGGACATGCTCCCGGCCACTGCAGCCTCTACCTGCCGGGCTCCGGCAATCCTTCCTCCTCTGCCTTCCAAGTAGCTGGAACTATAGGCGCACGCTACCACACCCGGCTAATTTTTTGATTTACTGTAGAGATGAGGTTTCGCCAAGTTGCCCAGGCGGGTTTCGAACCAGCGGACTCAGGCAATCCACTCACCTCAGCCTCCCAAAGTGCAGGATTATAGGGTGAGCCACTACGCCCGGATTCTTTCTTTTTCTTTCTCTCTCTCTCTTTCTTTCTTTCTCTCTCTCTCTCTCTCTCTCTCTCTCTCTCTCTCTCTCTCTCTCTCTCTCTCTCCTTCCTTCCTTCCTTCCTTCCTTCCTTCTTTCTTTCCTTTTTTTTGGAGTCAAGATCTCACGCTGGAGTGCAGTGGCACCATCACAGCTCACCACAGCCTTGACCTCCAGGACCCAGGTGATCCTTCTGCCTCAGCCTCTGGGACTACAGGCACGTGCCACTACACACCCAGTTACATTTTTATTTTTTGTTGAGACAAGGTCTTGCTATTATGTTGCCAAGGCTGGTTTTGAACTCCTGGACTCAAGCATTCCTCCTTCCTCTGCCTCCCAAAGTGCTGGAATTACAGACATAAGCCATGGCGCCCAGTCTGTGAGTGTGCCTTTCAAACCAGTCAGTTCAGAGTCCAGCTCCTTTCTGTGTCCCACCACTGTTCCCTGGCCCTCATCATCCCAGTTGTCGCTATTAGACAACTAGACACAATGTTTACACCTCAGAGACCACTGAAATTATTCAAACTAGGCAGTCCTCAGCCTGCTTACCCTGCCTGACCCATTCCTTCCTACAAAACACATCAAAGGCCCTTACCTGCATTTCCCTTCATCCCCTCTGCCTCCTGACCACCCTGGTGCTCCCCACATGGCCCTGCTGGTGTGGCCTGCCCACTCCCATTGGGAACTGTGAGTAATAAACTACCTTTTCAATGGTAGCAACTTCCTGATCTGTTGGTCTCACCATACCTAAATAAAAATAAGATTTTCGGGCCATGCACAGTGGCTCATGCTTGTAATCCCAGAACTTTGGGAGGCCAAAGCAGGAGGATTGCCTGAGCCCAAGAGTTTGAGGCCAGCCTGGGCAACATGGCGAGACCTCATTTCTACAATAAATTTTTTAAAAAATAGCCAAGGGTTCGAGACCCACCTGGGCAGCGAGACCTCATCTCTACAATAAACCAAAAAATCAGCTGGGCGTGGTAGCGCATGCCTGTAATTCCGGCTACTTGGAAGGCTGAGGCGGAAGGATCACCATAGCCCAGCAGGTCGAGGCTGCGGTGGCCGGGAGCGGCCACTGCACTCCAGTCTGGGCGACAGAGTGAAACTCCAACTCAAAAAAAAAAAAAATAGCCAAGTATGGTGGTGTGGGCCTGCAGTTCCAGCAACTTGGAAAGTTGAGGCAGAAGAATCACCTGAACCCAGGAGGCTGAGGCTGCAGTAGCCATGATTGTGCCACTGTACTCCAGCCTGGGTGACAGGGTAAGAGGCTGACTCAAGAAAAGAAAGAAAGAAAAGAGACACAGGGAGGGAAGGAGGGAGAGAAAGAGAAAGAAAGAAAATACGAAAAATACGATGTTCATTTTAATGCAGGCCTTATTCTGCCTGGGCTCCAAGTTTATGCTCACCTCCACACTTCACTTTTCTCACCCATAAGCCCAGGTTACCAGCCATGACTGCCTCAGGGCCATCACATACATTGTGCAGGCTGTGCCCTGTGCAAGGCGGCCATGCCAAGGACCTGAGTGGGGGCTCCAATCTGGTTCCTGCTCTGATTTCCAAGCTGTGGTCCTGCCAGGGAGAATGGGCATCTTTTCTTTATTTGCAAAAAGGCCCAAGTAGGCCAGCAGTGACCTCACCCACCTCATGGGGCTGCTGTCAGGACTACAAGAGGTAAGAGTCGTGGAGCACTCAGTGCAGTACTTGGTGCTCCAGAAATTGGGTCATCATGGTCTTCATGGGGTGGAGGGCACTCCTAAATACTGTGACAACTTCAAGAAAGGCTTCCATTTTGGCAGGGGAGTGGGGGCTGTAGGTGTATTTCAAGTCCATTTTGTTTACATCTCAAAGGACAGTGACCCGGGTTGACACCCAGGCCACACCCATGTTCATAGCAGTGTTATTCACATCAGCCCAAAAGTGGAAGCAGCCCAAGTGTCCATCGACGGATGAGTGGATAAGCAAAATGTGGTATGTTCATACAACTGAATATTATTCAGTCTTAAAAAGGAAGGACATGTAGTTCCGGCTACTTGGAAGGCTGCGGTGGAAGGATCGCCGGAGCCCAGCAGGTTGACATTGGGGTGGCCGTGAGCATGCCACCGCACTCCAGCCTGGGTGACAGAGTGAGACTTCAAGTCAAAAAAAAAAAAAGGAAGGACATTCTGATACAGGCTACAATATGGGTGAGCCTCGAGGACATTATGCTCAGTGAAACAAGTCAGACGCAAAAAGACAAATAGTGTGTGATTTCACCAATATGGCACACCTAGAGTAGTAGAATGTGTAGAAACAGAAAAGGGATAGAGGAGGGGGAAATGTGAAGTTATTTAATGGGTGCAGAGTTTCAGTTTTGCAAGATGAAAAGAGTTCTGGAAATTGGTTGCACAACAATTTGAATGTACTTAATGCCACTGAACTATACACTTTTAAATGGTTAAAATGGTAGTCCCAGCTACACAGGAGGCTGAGGCAGGAGACTCGCTTGAACCCAAGAGTTCAAAGCCAGACTGGGCAGCACATCAAGATCCCATCTCTTTTTTTTTTTTTTTTTGAGTTGGAGTCTCACTCCATCGCCCAGACTGGACTGCAGTGGCACACTCACGGCTACCCCAGCATTGACTTGCTGGGTTCCACCTCGGCCTCCCAAAGTGTTGGGATTGCAGGCTGAGCCACCGAGTCCAGCCAAGATCCCAAGTTTTAAAAACAAAAGGTTAAAGTGGAAATTTTGTTTTATATATTTTACCATAATTTTTTTCAAAAGGCACACCCAAATCATACTTCCAAATCATGCATATGAGAGTAATAACTGTTCCTGCTCTTGTCCTATAGAAAAACTGCTCAGGCAATGGGAAGCAATCTTTATAGTGTTTCTACAATAGTAAGGTCCAGCATCCCCTTGGACTCCCTTGGGACTGGCTGAGGCTGGACACTCTGCCTGTGACACAGGGGACACTTTGCTACCTTGCCAATGCCAGCCGTAATTTCACTACACACACACACACACACACACACACACACACACACACACACACACACACATCT